ATTCAAAGTATATGTATATATGATACTTTTTCAAAGCTTAGCAGGCCAATTGAACTTACTAAATGCACGAGGCTTCACTCTTGATAGATTTATTTGTAAAATTTTACAGCTTCATAATCGATGCTACTGAAACACAATACATTCATACATTAAATTCTGTAATGAAAATGGTAAATCTTGGCTCTAATACTTGAACATCAGAAAACCAAAGAAAGAAAAGGGTGGAGTCGAAGCTGGAGATGATGAGTGGAATGAATTGAAACTAAGCCGAAAGCCATCCAACATGTACCAACCCAGCAATCAATCGACCAATCAATCGTGACAAAGACTATCTAAAAATTTAAGCAAGCCTCAGATATGGGAAACTAGGCATCCAAGCCATTTTAGGCCGATGGCCCCTTTCCCAGGAATCAAGACGCACCCCATTTTCCTTCTCTTCACAGATAATCTCATTGTACTACTCAATAACTCTCGAAAGTGTCCCATATGTAGGGAACAAGCCCATGGGAAAAATGCAAAAGCCCATTGACTGTCCCATGGACCAGGATTGCCATGTAGTGAGCCCAAAAAGTGTTCCCTAGTTGAAGAAAAAACACAGTTGCTCCTTGTTTGCATTATATCAGCCTGCCTGGAAAAATGCATGTTCATGTCTATTGTAAAGCAACTTCCTAACATTCTGATTCTTTTCATAGTCTTGAGACTTGAGAGGGGGATGTGAGGGCCAGATAGACTTTCACGTCAAGGGCTCAGCAAATCTCTGTAACAGAATCCATGGCTTCGATATTGTTTCTCCATCAAAGGAAGATGCTCGTATCATAGCTGTTGTTTTGATTTGCAAAGCTCTGCTTTGGCATGTGTCACCTTCCAAGTTTCAGCTTATATAATTCCATTGTTACACAACTGCATTTCACTGTGAAGGGGCCATCAACAAAGAAAAAAACGCTGCATTTCCTTGGATATATGCAAGACAATTGGATTGACACAGTAAAAATTAGTTTATTTTGCATTGTTTACGCAATTCTTGCAGTTTTTCAGAGGACAATTAGGTGCTAATTAAGATTTATATTGCATGTAGAACTTTAATTGTAACCTGTAATTCCTATTAGTTCTCACATTGCTCCGTTCACATTGGAGCTTTGATTCTTTGACAGAGTAAAAATATTAATTATTATTATTATACAAAGATTAAATCTACATTTTTATAGAACACATAGACTAATTGCATAATTTGACTTTCTTTATTCATAGTATGAAGTTCAAATCTTTCATCTGCCTATAAAAAAAAAATTAATGTACATATAAAAGTTTTATACTTCCAAGTTCATTTTCTAACTTGGAAAAACGACTAAAACAGCATGCATGAGGAGAAAACACTAAAGATCCAAGAGCTCAAGAGATAAACTGAAACTGTGAAGCTTCGCCTGGAGAAGAAGGAAGATATCCCAGATGAGAGAAAGGAAGCTTTCAATAACCTAGGCCAGAAATACAACAACGTAAGAGAGGAATATAATTGTTGGCTGAAAGGTTAAGGGAGCAGAGTTAAGCAAATTGCTTCAGTTTCATCTTCCAAGTTCGGATTATGCCACCATACATGAGTTGCCATCTTACACATTAGAAACTGCTTTCTCATACGTAAACATTTAACATTTTTTGTTTAGTATATTGTTCTGTAAAATATCTAAATCAGTAATGTTTCAGTAATCTTTAATTTCAAAATCAAGTACTTGATCACAACTTCTAAAGCGATAAATTTAATTATATTTCCAGTATATAATTAAAAGAATAGATATATAAAATTTAGATTACTTGTACTGGAGCAACAAAGACTGATGAATTTTCTTTAACCAAGTATTGCCTAAGCATGCTACAAAATAAAGTTGCTTCTCGATCCCAAAAGCAAGAGTCACAACAAGAGAGGTTATCATGGAGATTGTTGCTTGCTTCCCATGCTTGGTCTCTATTTGAACTCAAACGCTTTGTTCTTGATGTAATAATGTCATCACAATTGCAGTCGACTTTTGCATTATTAGCAGATTCTTTTGGCTTATCCAGAGACACATAGACCCACGTGCTGTGCAACATCTTCACTGTTTTCGGACGGCAACTAGCAATCCTAAACTTCTTGTGCTGGAACTCGTGAGATTGAGCAAAGACACAATTTGAAGCCCTTGATAGTTAAACTCACCCCCTAGATAAATTAAGATAATATCATATGCATATTTAGCTTCAACGTACATTTTTTGATTGATTTTTTCAAATAACGGAATCTTGATTTTGATTTCTTTTTACTAAAACAATTGATTATTTTTTTCTTATATATTAATGCTGTAATGCATTAACCTGGAAAGAAAGTTAAGAAGAAAGCTAGCTATATATGTTGGAAAATAG